ATCATACCATCAGTATCAGCTTCAACAATCAACAACACCACAAGCCAGTGACTCCAATACTACTAGAAATATCATTCAGAGATCAATCACGCCGGATGATACTGTAGCTTCCACTACTACAAGATTGGCTACTAAACTTAACCCTTCTTCTGTAGCTAGTAACACCAATATCAATGCATCTCCTGATTGTTGTAGCACAGCTACAAATACTATTAGTTCAAATACTGAACCAAATTAACAGCCATCACCATCTAATATTATTAAAGAAATGTCATCATGAAAATACCTTACATTTCTGAACACTATTGAGGTTATCTCCATTGGTATATTTCAATATAATAAAATCTTTAGCAATATTTATCATTTAKTACTTATTTAAATGTATGCCGTATATCGATGGTAATAACTAGGGTTAGAATTATAATGCACTTAGCTAACATGCTTGTTGTTTTGTACAAATATGACTCATTTGTTGTTGTTTAATGAATTTTTATTTATTTATTTATTTATTTATTAGTGAATACTCCAGGATAAATTTTCTGAGCTCACAATTGCAAATTTTTAAGTTTTTTTGTATTGTTTAGTTTTTTGGGCATTTTTTTCATCTCAATAGCATTTTAATGAATTTATAATGTTAATTCAAATGTTGAAAATTGAATTGAATTTTGTTATTCTTTTAATTTTATAAATTATATTCTATTATAAGCAAGAATAATTATTAAAGATTCTATTCAAACAATAAAATTGATGAAAGCTGTGTGACATATTATTTAGTATTTTAATAATCACAAAAAAYAAGAAATCCAAATTCAGCATCATCAAATTATAAATAAATTATTATACTTATACATGTATATGTATATAAATGTTAAATCTTAAAAATTTTATAAACCATTATTTTTGTCCTAATTTTGTTTTTAATGCATTATTATACATTTTTTACATTTTTATAGGGCGTTTTGTTAGTTTYGATGTGTTGAATTTCCAGCTCTATTAATAAATATTAAGTGTGTTCAAAATTATAATCCATTAATTATTAATACTTTTCATTCTACCTCAGCATATTTACACCATTACATGCAATAAAAGATATTATCAGCATTGGTATATTTCAATTTTATAAAACCTTTTGCAATATTCAACACTGATTAATCAATTTAATGATTAATACTAAWAATGATAACATAATATTTTTAATGCTCTCAAAAACATTCATATGATCAAAATATTTTTGATATATTTCTGWATACCCTTAAATATAATATATTTCAGATTACTATCATCATGATACATTTCTATCAAATAAAAATCTTTGTAATATGACATMTTTTAATTAATTGAAATATGGATACCAATGTTGATAGAATWTGAATGTGCTCAAAATATTGTTTATGAGACAAAATTCCTATCGAAACATTTCAATCTACCTCACCATGTCATGTCGCCCTAAATTGTATTTAAGATTATTTTAATTTATCACCATTGGCACATTTAAGYATAATTTTAAAGCAATATTTAACATGAGCTGATTCATCATAACCAATGGTAAGTTAAATAAACTAAAATTGTCTATGGAACCAAAATAAATCAATACAATTGAATCTACTTGCAACCATCGATACCTATACATTTAACAATGACACCACTAATGGTATATTTAAATCTACTAAAAATGTATGCAATATTAACTCATATTAATTAATTGAAATTGGGATACCAATAGAGATGACACTTAAATGTTTTAAAAATCATTAACTATAGAAACAATAATTTATTATTATTATATTATGTCTATAATTTAAGGTAACAATCGAATTTTGTTTGTTATAAGTAACCCCTATAAACTGATGGGGGTTTATTATTAAGCTTTAATTGTAATTTTAATTTTAAGTAACATAGTTTTATAAAAATAAAATTTAAAATGTATATTCTTTTGTTTATTATTTACATTATAATAGTAAAACACTACCCTTAAAATGTCTTAAAGGTTACAAATAATATAAATTCAACATTCATTAATATTTTATGATAATTAACAATCATTACAATAGTGCATATTTTTAACACTTATTGCCAACTACGCTTCTCCGCCGCCGTCTGAAAGGATTCCACAACCATGTAATTTTTTTATTAGTATTCTCAGTTCCTTCATTAGCACTGTTTGTATTCTGTCGTCGTTGACGACGTTGTTTAGAGTTGGTCTGTGATAACATGGGTGGTAGTGATGGAGCAGAATGTATATTTGAAGTTAAGGCCACCATATTTGTACTTCTCCGTTTATAAATCTATATGAAACAATACAGACAAATTATAAACAAGATATATACTATATAACACTATTCAAAATCAATTTTCACTGAATGTAATAATAAACTATAATAATTAAGAACTATCTCGATAATTATTTAAATGGAAAGGCAAGATTGTGTTGTTGAACAATTGATGGATAGACAATTTATGAAATTAACGTGTTACATATTATTGTACTTGAGTTACGAACTATGTAAGAATATATTAACTTCCAAGTTTTTTAAATGAATGTATGGCAATTGGCAATCAATATACTTTTGGGCTGAAAGGTTATTTGGTATAAATTATTAATGCTCACGCTATGGTACTCAGGGAAATGATACTAAATCCAGTGGTTTTCTAATTACAAAAGAGATTCAAGCACACATTCAAAGCAATTCATTATTTGTGTTATTTAATAGTGCCTATATTCAAAAACTATAGTACTTTATACCTAAAAATTATACTTAGGTATTTATTAATTTTTTGAACTAGATAAAAAATGTATYAACATTTCAAAAAAGAATAACTTGTTACTGGAATAAATTTCTGGWAGTTTCTTATTTCATTTAAAAAAAATRATAAAAATTGTTTAAGGAAAATTATTATGCATTTGAATAATCAATATTACTGAAATTTTAAATTAAAACAATATTGAAAAAAATGTATAGGATTGAAATATATTTTTTTAATTACAGTAGAGAAACTGATAAATCTTGAATTTAATATTCTAGCTTTAGTTGTGAAAATTAAAACTTGTATTTTAGATTCTGAGCTGAACGATGAATGTATTGATATTAAAATGATATATATATTTTTTTTTACATGTAATATTTCTTATGGCTGGGGTTATTCTATAAATGTGTGCGACATCGATAACCTTACCATTATGTCATCGTGTCCAAGCCGGGAGCATAAAATATTGTAATTTTTTGATCAATTTCGTGTTTTAGTTGCTACGAAAACCAAACAATAACAAAAATGAAATAAATGTTATTAATTTTGACCCTAGCTGCAACGATGATAAATAATAATATAATTGCGTTACAATAACATAGACGCAACTATGATCGACTTTTTGAAAGGGGGGCTTGAATTTTTTAAGTTACACAGATCCCCTAATAAAACAAAATTCTAGAGTCATGGCTCACTTTTTAATTTATATTTGTATCTATTATATTATGGAAGCTGGATAAATAGTTGAGGGGCTAAGCACACTAGCTCTGCCTAATTGCGCCTATGATTACCAATGCAGGTGACCATAATAATACCATAGCAACTTCATTATAGGTACTATTAGATTCTTAGCGACGATAATAATTCATAATTTATTATAATTGTATTAATTACTTATCACTTCCTATATTCTATGTCGAATGCAATCAGTATGACATAAACATTTAACGATATATTTACTCGGAGTGTAGAAACTCTCTTTCTTTTTATTTTTTATTTGTATTTGTGTACAAGATAAGTAGTCGAAATAATAATGCTTCGATTTTCAACTTCAGTATTGTTTACAGTGAGAAAGTGAATATAGTTGGTACATTCGGTCATTCGGAAGTTAACAACCTAAAATTAAGAAAAAACGGGAGATCTTGCCCACAATTAGTTTTCGAGAAAATTTATTTTGATTTTGAGTGTAACTAAAAAAAAAATTACCGTAGATGCATGTAATTCTATTATTTCCTATCAACGACTATCAACTAAGACTTTCGTCTCAATAAATACCTTTTGTATTTAATTAATGTGTAAGTAGATAGGTACCTTGTTAGGATCCGCGGCCTGATAGCCGTCAGACACAGTCGTGGAAGTTATCGGTGTGACAATTTTCAATTGGATGACTGCTACTTCACCGGAACTCGGTTTCCGACGCCTCTGATGATGGTGAACGATTAACTCGGCCACCCTGCGGCACGTTTCCCACCTGACGTCCATTACCCTTCCACCACTATTATCACCTGCACATAGCTTCAACGCCACCACTATGTCGCCTCGTCTCAAGCCGACGTGCTTTATTGAGAACACAATAATTAATATTAATATAATCATTAATAAATAATAAAATAATATATTATCATCATGTCAATTTAATATAAATAGGATCAATGATGCTTATACGTATATCCATTAATATAATAAAAAGACAAGATGCTTGTAAATATGTGTTATATTATTGTTGGTTAGAGGTTAGAAAATATTGGAAGATTATAATATTATTATCATACATATTACGGAAATGATGGAAAATAACAATAATGTATGTAATTATTATATAGGTGAATATAATAAATTTCCATTTTCAATTTAAATACATGGTAATAAGATTTTTTTACTTTAAATACATATTATATTTTATCCTTCCTTATTTTTAAAAAATAACAGAGCTTTTTTATATTCTAAATTTCTGACTACACTATTGAACTTTATAACGATTTTTTTTCASAAAGTTGTTCCAAATACTCCTCAAAGTTATCTATTATTTTCAATTTGAATGTTACTTAAGAAAATTCAAATCCTGTTGTTAACAAATCTTTCTTTGATTGGTAAAAACCATAATTTATTTTTTGTACATAAGTAGGTATACGTATTTACAATAGTAGATGATAAATTTCATAGTTTTAATTTTTTTTTATGATTTACTATTAAGTACATAATCGTAATGATTATCAACGATTTCAAACACAGGCGAAATACCCCCTCTTTCACCCTAAGGTCCAAACTCCTGGTATGCTTTACCTTTCACGTAGTATCTACTAACAAAAATAATTATATAAGAAAGCTCTTGAAAAAAAATTATTATTTAAAAATATTGAAATATTGAATAATGATAAAAATTAAAATATAAATAATAAAATATTGAAAAAAAATTAAAATCTATCGACATTTAAAAAAAAAAGAACTTTTCGTAGTATTAAAATTATTTTTACAAATATTTATTATAGTGTGAAATCAAATAAAACTAAAAATATTGTGCGTCAGGATCGTTTTCAAATTCATTTTTACGTCATCGACCGATAAGGTCTTACAGGTTATAGATCTACGTCTGATATTTACGACTTTCGTTATAAAAATATTTAACAACAATTTATTGAGAGTGCGTCGCACGTGTTATTATTAACTGCAGTTATTACTCTCAGTTTCAACTGAATCAATATAATCTACTATTATTGTAGATACCTATTATGTCCGTTAAAATATAGATAACCGTGGTTATGACCAACCACGCTTAACATACACGATTTTTATTACGTATAAATGCATAATATAATATTACACTCATCGATTTTAGAGGTGCTAATCGTGATATAAGTCGTTAAAGATAATAATAATAAACATAATTCATACTTGTGCCTGAGAACTGGACCTGACGTGTCCTACGGTAGCCGGAGGGACTGCGGCCGCTGTGCCACCGCCGTGGCTGCGCAACTCGAAACCGAACCATCGGTCTACAAGCTGAACCGGATCCGCGGATGCAACAGATTTGTCGTCGTCACAAGCGTCTTCGTCGCCACCGCCAGGGGAACGATGACGGGCACCGCCGCGGGCCACTTTCACCCACCGGGGCCGTGAAAACTGGTGCCGCGCCGAAAACACGGCCACYGGCCCTAGCCCGGCGAATAGATCTGCTCTACGTTCCTCGCGATCAGCGGTCTCGTACTGCCGTTCTTCTCGCTTTTGCCTGTGTCGATCTTCACCACCGACACGTTGTTTGGTCAAGCCACCCAGATCGCATTCGTCACCGCCGTACTCGTCGCCATCGTTGTAGTTGCATCCGTCACCGGTGTCCGTGAAGTCGGGCGCAATCGACATCAACCGAAATCTAGTCCGTGCTATACATTATGTTAAACACAAATCACAGTTATTACTCAGCAGTTT